ACGGTAGCCCATAGCAGCCCACCTGCTGTCGCCCAGCTCCAGGTCGAGCTGCCACCCAGCATCCTAGCTGTGGAGGGCAGTGTCACTGGCCCGCATATGTGGGATCTGAACCGGGGCCCTCTGGCATCCCAAGCCAGCTCTTAACCAATGTATCACTTGGCCGGCCCTGGAAAACTTTTCTTTACAAAACACCAGAAAATAAAAGAAACCACCATGAACAGCAATTTCAGGTGAAGACAGAGCTGAGCTTGAGGACAGAGGGCACCCTGCTGCCAGAGGACCAACCGAAGCCAGAGGCTGAACACCGATGGTAAGTGTGTGAGAGTGGCATGCAAGCTGAGGGGAGTTCCCAGGCCCTGGGACCAAGGGGCTTGGATGTTGCTCTCTCCATGGAGATGGGGGCATGGCCTTGGGATGGAGGTTGGGGAACCCAGACTCCTGCATAAAGCCAGGCCTCTCATGGAGCACAGCCTTAATGAGACGGCAAAGCAGAAAGCACACGTTCCAGCAAAGAGCTGAGGACGCTGGTCTGCTTTTGTGCAAGAGGAGAAATACGAAGAGATACTGGCTGAGCAGTTTCCAGAATTGGTGAAAAGCAAGTGTCATCAGATTCAGGAAGCCCAGAGTCCCAGCAGGCCCAGCCCCTGGACACTGGTGCCCGAGACAGGAGCACTAGGTGAGAGACCGTGTGCCTCTGGGCCAAGCACCGCACCAAGCACTTGTGCTGAGCAAATGTTGGTTGAATGAATGAATGATGGTGAGGGGGGAACAAGATGGAAAATGAGGATGCCTAAATCCAGCTTTAGCCAAGGCTGGGAATTTGCAATCTCTACCCACCTTCTGAGGAGGGCAGAAAAGAACAGGCACGATATCCTTTAGCACAATATTCAAATATGAGCAGAAGTCGGGGCTGGCTATTTTTAGCAGAGTCAGAGGGAGGTGATCTAAGGCTGGATCCAGCAGGAGGGGTGCAGCCCCAGAGTCACCCTGGAAAGTCAGGCTCAAAGGCTGTCCTCCCTCTGCTGAGCGCCTGGATGCCCTGAGGGCCCATGTTTGGGTGTTGTTGTTTTTTTGTGGGGAAGGGTACTGATGTGATTCACAACGTGTCTGAATCCCTGGGGGCCAGTGTTCTTTCTCCTTTGGGGCTTTCACTGAGCAAGCACCATGCTTTTCTGAAAAAAGACAGGCTGGGCCGTGTGCCGGGGCCAGTGTCCTGGCCAGGGGCCATTTGACTCATGACCTTGAGGGCACTCATCTTCAAAGGCCGTGGACACCTGACCCCTTCTATGTTCGTTCTTGTGGCTCCTGTAACATATGATCACAAACTGGATATAACAGACCAGTGCCGGTCATTTCCTCTGTTATTCAGTAGGGGGTCGGGGGTCTGGAGCGGGGGGCGGCCAGCTTTGGTTCAGGGAGGAAGGGTTGGAGAACCCACAGCCTGCCCCCCTCTCGCCAGCATCTGGCCTCAAACCCCGACTGCAGGTTCCTCTTTTTCAGGGTCAGACTTCTCTCTGTCCTGCTACCAGTCTGCCCCTGCACCCCCACATTACTCACCTCCTTAAGTTTAAGAGAGAATTCAAAAGTAGTTTCCTTTACAAAGAACTCTTAAAACTCAACAGTAAGAAAATGAACAGCCCGCTTTAAAAATGGGCAAAAGATCTGAACAGCCACCTCACAAAAGAGACAGACAGATGGCAAGTAAAAGATGCATCACCGGGGAAATGCAAATTAAGAATCAGTGAAAAATAGGTGCACTACCTACCAGTGCCCCCTTGGTCTAGCCCAGTGGTTTGCCAAGTGTGGGCGCTGGGCCTGCAGAGGCTGCATCCTTATTAAGACTCTAATTTCCAGGCCCCACCCCAGACCAGCTGAATTAGAAACTCTGGGGATGGCCCAGCAACTGTGCCTAATAAGCTCAGAATCAGGTGACAGATGCCAAAATTGGAGAACCACTGGCCCAGAATAGGCTTTCTCCACTGCAATGCCGTGGACACTTGGGGCTGGATCATTCGTTTTGGTGGGGACCGTCCTGTGCCCTGTGGGATGCTGACTAGCATCCCTGGCCTCTCTCCCTACTAGATGCTAGCAGCAGGCCACTTCCTCACTCCGCCCCCGCCACCCCACGCCAAGTCATGACAGTCAAAACTGTCTCCGGACAGTGCCAACTGTCCTCCGGAGAGCTAAACTACCCCCAGTTGACAAACCCTGGCTAGAAGGAAGCCCCTGATTGTGGAGTGTCTCAAAAACAAGATCACGTAAAACCATGAGTATATCCTATGGCCTGGGCTGTCACCCTGTTGGGTCATTTGATCCTCACAACAACTTTGAACCTATCCCTGCTTTATAGCAAATCCCCCTCACTGCTTACCAGCTGTGTGACCTTGGGAAAGTTACTTAAACTCTCTGTGCCTCAGTTTTCCCAACTGTAAACTGGGGATATAATGGTACGTATCTGACAGGATGGCTGAGCACATAAAACGACAAATTCTCAGCCCCTTGTCTACAGCGCAGCCCATGCCCGGTAAATATTAACTTGTTGTCTCGGCATGATCTGGCTCAGGCTTGCCTCAAAATGCATTTGCGTTCCCTGACCTCACACTGCTACAGCTAGCAGAGGCCAGCCTGAGGTGAGCTGACACCTGGCAGGACCCCTGGCATCACGGTGTGGGGCCCACGGGTCTCTGGCACCTGCAGGGACTTCCTTCGGGCAGCCTGACGCAGAGAGCCCCAGCTTTGCAGACTTAGACTGTGCTTCAAGTAAAAATGTGGGGCGGGGGCCGCAGATATCTGCCCCCACCGCTCCCCGCCTGGGTATTCACACCCCTTCGCTCCTCCAGCCCTAGGCTCCCCAGGAAAAGATGAGAAATAGCACCGCTCCTCCTCTGCACCTCACATCCCAATAAAATATTTATTATTTCAAGAAATAAATCTTTAAAAAAAGAGAGAGAAAAGAGAGTCTCTATTGCTTTCCCCCGAAGGTCAGGTCCTTGGTGACTATTGAGTTTCTGCAGCCATACCGGCCACCCAGGCGGTAAGAGGGCTCTCCGGTGGGGGGCATCCCCCTCCTGACTCTCAGGGCCCAGGGGCCGCCTCCCTGGAAGGGTGGAGGGGCAGGCCCAGGTGGGCAGGGTGGGGGTTGCCCCCAGGAGGGAGTGGGATTATAAAACGGGGTGGGGTGGCAGTGTTTCTGAGGGCCTGACCTGTTTAATCAGGCAGGGCTCTGGGCTCGGGATTGGGGCAGGGGGCGTCCTGGGGCCGGGGCAGGCATGCCGCGCACAGGTGAGCAGGTGGATCTAGAGGTGGTTGGAAGCTGGAGGTAGGGAAACGGACGCAGAGTTGATGGAGTGGGGGTTACATGGGGGCTAGCGGGCCCAGGCAGCCAGGAACTGGGCCGGGGACGCCAAGGCGCAGAAGCCCCACTAGATGCTGGGCGGAGTTCCAGAGCCGGTTCTCAGAGGTGGGGAGGGGATTGAGGCTTTGGGAACAAATCTGTGGTCTGGAATCGCAGTCATGCCAGGATGGGTTTCAGAAGTCCAAAGTGAAGAGAGTTGGAACAAGCAGGTGAGGGAAACAATTCAACCCAGGGCCTAAGGGGTCCTTGCACCAACCATGGTCCTCAAGTGCAGCAGGGAGGGGGGCGTGGGAAAGCGGGAGGGGTGGGGCTAAGAGGGCGCATGAACAGAGACCACTAGCCTGGCCTTCCCCCAGTTCCCTGTCCCTTCTGTCCACACCCCAACAATTCCAGAGGGACAAGGCTGACCCCTCATGCATCACACCCCACTCTCTGGACCCTCAGTGGGCCATCGGACAGGCCTCGCCCCTGCTCCCTTTCTTATACATCAAGAGGCCCCATCCTGGGCCCAAGAAGGACCAGGGCCCTCGCTCTGTGTGGCCCTAATCTGGCCTTGCACAAAGCAAGGGGCCTCTGACACCTGCTCCTGGGCCAGTGGGACCCTCTGACCAACCCCACAGCTGCTTGGCCAGATGTTGCCATGAGCTCCCGGCTGAGAACAAGGAGCCTGCCTAGGGTGAGCACCAGGCACTGGGGTGAGCTGCCGTCCCCCTCAACCTGTGCCTGCTCTGCCCACTTCCTGGCCTAGACAGGAAGCTCCGGCCTGGGGTGTCAAGGGGGAGTGGGTCGCTGGAGCTCGGAATCTGCTGGTGCTTTCTCCTGCGGCAGGAGGGCCAGCCGGGTGGGCGCCCTCACAGACAGTCCTGGCACAAGGCCACCTGGCCCTTGCGGAAGTCTCGGCAGGGACAGAGCCGGTGGTACTTGGTGCTGGAGCCGGCACAGCTGAAGAGCAGAGGTTCTTTCTGCAGGAAGCACTCCTGGCCGGGCTGGGCGAAGGCGGGGTACAGGTGGTTCATCTCCGACTCAGTGCTGTCACAGGGCACCTGCAGCCTGAGCGGGCACCACGGGCGGCAGTCACTCAGAGGGCAGGGGACAGGCTGCCCCAGCCAGGTACTGCCCACTGCCCCTCCCTGGTCCATCCCATCCCAGGCCCAGGAAGCTGTTTCTAGGAGGCACCAGGACAAAGGCTGGGCTGTGCCTCCTTCTCCCACCTGCTGTGAGAGAGGAGAGAAGGTGGCCAGGGGGGCGGGACTACAGGCTGACCCATCAGGAGGAACGTGGGCAGATTTCACAGCCTAGACCTAGAAGGTGCCCAGACCGGCTGGGCAGGGGGCTGAGGGAGGGATGAAGCGGGCAGTGACTGGGCAGGGAGCTTCCTGGGAGTTTTGGGATTGAGGCTTTGCCAAGAGTGTGACAGGCAGGACATGGATAGGCGACTGGAAGGTCCCTTCTGATCCTTCCTGACTCACTAGAACACATAACCAGCCTCACACACACACACACACACGGCTGGCAGGGCCAGTGGCTGGCGAGCTGGGCCAACCCAGGAAGGGGGGGCCGGGTGGGGGCTCACTCACTTCTGGAAGGCGTCCTTGCTGTTGAGGAAGGGGAAGAAGGAAGGCTCGCAGATCAGCCCGTGGTCCAGGCAGGTGTCCGTGCAGGCCCTCCCAGGGGCGGCCAGCCAGGCCCGGAGGGAGTGCACTGGGGGCCAGGCCCTGGGGGCCACGCCGGAGTCTGGGGCCCACTCCAGGTGGGTGGCATTGGGGGCCAGGACGAGGGGGCTCTGCGGGGCTCGGGCCCCTGGTGGGGCAGGGCCTGAGGCTGCACAGAAGTCCTGCCGGGAGGAAAGCAGGATGAGAAGCAGAAATGGGACCCGGAAGCCACTGGCTGACACGTGGGAGAGTGGCCTTACAATTACATCAACGTAATTACACCACCATCGGGAACTTATTGACTGTCAGGCAGCCTTCCGGGCATCATTTCACTTATTCCTCATAGCAGCCCTACCAAACAGGTACTGATACGGCTCCAGCTGTTTTATGGGGGAGGAACAGGGGCTCAGAGAGGTAAGAGAACCTGCCCAGGGCCTCACGGCTGGCTGGCAGAGGCAGGATTGGGACTGGGGTCTGTCTTCATGCTGTGTACCCTGGCTTGCCTGGCTGTTGGTCACCCTTGGGTTAGGCTCAGGGTTTCTACCCCAGGGACACTGACACTGGCCCAAAAAGCTCTCCCTGCAGGGGTCAGCTCCAGGAGCCAACAGGGCCCAGCAAATGTTTTTCTGTGAGCATCATGACGACATCCCTTGGGTAGCTGGGAGCCCAGAGTCCCAGGTTCCGGCCCTGGCTCGGACCTCAACAAACCCTCCTTTCGGGGGGCCTCAGTATCCCCGTCTGTAAAGCAATGGGCTAGAAACACCCTCTGGTCCCTAATGTTTGTGAGGCCGGGGACAAGGCACAGACAGGGGCCACATACTATCTGTCTTATTATCTACTAATTATAAGCAGCCTACTCGTATCGTTCACCTGGTCCCATCGCCCAGCCAGGCCCTGCGGCTTGCTGACAGGCAGCCCCCGGAGACCTGGGGCCTGAAGGAACGGTGCTCTGCCTGGGCTACCTGTGGGCCCTTGTGTAGGTGCAGATCTCCTCGGGGGAGGGCCGGACTGCTGCTTCCTGGGGGTCTGGGGCAGAGGTCTTAATCCCCACGGCCAGTCTCACCTACTCTTCCTTGGGGGGGGGGGATCTTCCATAGTTAGCATTCACTCATCAGTTGCAAACCTTTTAAACAATTTCTTAGTAATTATGAGAAGTCCTCGTGCGTCTATGTTGTGATATGGGGTTGGGGCTCTAAAGCTGGGGACCCAGGGCAGGGGCCCTCAGGCCTGGCCTCTGAGCAGAGCAGTACATACTGCTTTCCCCGCCCACCTCCACCCCATGGCTGCAGGAAGGGAAGGAAATGGACAGACTGCAAAGAGAAAGAACAGGGAGTTTAATGGACGCAGCACCCTGGGCAGGGGCGGCCCTCCTGGGCATGGTGCTAGCTTGGCCCCCTCCTCTGATCTGAGGAGGGTCCCAGGAGACAGCCCACCTACCTGGTGCTGGATATAGGCTTGGATTCGCTCCAGCATCCCCTCACAGGTGTACTCATAGGGCAGGTAGGGGTCTACCTGTAGGAAAGACAGGCAGATACATAGGGTAGGAAGAGACGGAGCCATCAGTGCTTGGCACTGGGGGGAGGGAGGGGCGGAGATCTGGTAGGTTCCGCACCCTGTGCCCAGGGAGCCAACTACCCTGTCCAACAGGGACTCTGCTCAGATTCCCTGATCCCCAGTGTACCCTCCAGGGGCTCTCAGCAGCTCAGGACCCACGAGGCCTAGGCCAGTCACCCCTCCCCACGCCCTCCCTGCGCTGGTCCAGCTGCACTGAGCCTCTCCCCTTTCAGTAAACTCAGCACTCTATCGGTCCCGGGCTCTGATGCCCGCTCTTCCCACAGCCAACCCAGAGGGATTCATTCTCCCCTCTTAGGCAACACCTCCTCCAGGAAGCAGTTCCTGAGCCCCACCCCATCTGTTACAGGACCACTTTCCTTCGTGGCACCCCAGACTTCCCCCAGTGAAGAATTAGTGCCGGTGTCATCATTTCTCTGTGTCTCTCAGGTCATGAGCCCTTTGAGAGCCGAGACTAGGCCTTGTTCACCACTGACCCCCTGATGTCTGTCTGGCACAATGCCTGGTATACAGTAGGCGCTCAGGAAACAGCACCCCCAGCTCTGCCTGTATCCTGCCGAAGAGGTGGAATATTTATTTATGCGAAGGGACATCTCCCAGCTGGATGGAATGAGCTGACTTTTATAAAGCTTCCTGCCCAGGCCAGGCTCCTGGGAGCTACATAAGACACACACCCCAAATGTAGGCCACAGACCGTCAGTCTAAATATCCAAGTTTTAAAGCAGCCTACCCTGGGGGCAGATGGGAGAGGGCAGAGTGAGCAGCTGGGGCCCGAGGAGCAAGGGGAATAGAGGGAAGAGGTGATGAAGGGGGTGTCCACCTCCACGAGCAGGTACCCCCCTCCCCTCCGCTCTTCCTTGACGATCCCCTCCCTGTTGACATCACCCCTCGCAGGCCCAGCCCACAAGGGAACCATTGGCCAGATGAGGACGTGGGATGGACCCTCCCCGACTCAGCGGAAGGTCTGTTTTAGCCTTCGACCTCCCCACCCCCAGCTTGTGCACGGTGGCACCACAGCCGCCCAGCTCATCTCTATCTGTGCCACGTTCCTGCCAGCAGCTCCAGAAATCCGGCAGCTTTAGCCCAGCAGCTAGTTAAATTTAACAATTCCGCCCAAGTCCATACGCCTCTCCTTCCTCCTCATCAGGAGTGGGTGGTGTCAGATACCACTCGGGCCTGCTTCCTGTAGACCCCACCTGGAAGCGCTGGAGGCCTGTCCTGGGCCCTCTGGCCAAGGGGTTGTCCCCGACACTCATGCTGAGGAGGATCCCAGGGGAGCAGTAGCCACTGCTGCCCTTGAAGCGGGCCCTGGCCCCCAGGACTGATTCTCGGGACGAGACCCCCACCCATCTAAACTTGTCCCCATTTCTGGCTTTACCTGCACTGTGAGTGGGGACGGTTCCTAATTCCCAGAGGATCCCAGGTCCCGCATTCCAGCCACCACGTCACAGCTGATCTACTGGGGCAGCCTCCAGCCCTAAGCTCAGCACAGCCTGGTCCCAAGCCGCTGTCCTCCAGAGCCGATGGCCCAGGAAGGCCCCAGCAACCTGCTGCTGCCCCCCAGTTCCCGGACACCTAGGGGGGTGTCTCTTGGGTACAAGGCTTCAAGTCCTGGTTCTAAATAAGCCTCCCTAGAGAAGAGGTTTCCCCTCCAAATGTCGCTCTGCCTGCCCCAGGGCAGCAGCCCTCCGTTATTCTCCCCATGTGGTTCGAAGCCCCCGTCGCACAGTCATTCAAAGGTCCCCGGGTGAGGGGAGCATTATCAGCCAGCCACGTCCCACCTGCCACGAATCTCCCGCCGGCGGAGCCAGCCTGCCTGGAAATTATCCCCATTAGGTCTAATTACAGGTGTGCACAGCAATCAGTCTCGACAGAATGGCAGGTGCTGGGTCCTGCCTGAACGGAGGCCCCTGATGATGAGAGTGGGGAGGGAGCGGAAGGCAGGCGCCCGCTTCACCTCCTCTCCTCTCACCTTGAATGGCCTCCCCCTGGACAGAGACGCCAATGGGCAAGCCCACTGAGGCCGAGAGGCAACAGGAAGGGCCCCACCCTGGAGCTGGGGGACAGGTGGCTGGGTGCCTTAGGTCTCTCTCCCCTCCTCCTCCTCGCCTCTCTCCCCTCCTTGCCTCCCCCGCCCCCCACCGCCCCAAAAGGCCCCTTGACTTGCAGTATAAGCTGTGGCCCCTGATGGTGGCCCTCACTGGCTCTCTCAGATGCTGTCAGCTGTCCCTAACTCAGTTTTCTAAAAGGATTACCAGAATTAACCAGGGTGCATGTTTAAAATACACGCTCTGAGGCCACCCCCAGGGTGGGCCCAGGAATCATTGCAAACACCTCCCCAGGTGATTCTCAGGTTGGGGTGAGCTGTCTGAGAGACAGGGTGGGGCCCATGAAGGGCGGGGCTGAAAGCAGAGCGGCCACGGCTGGTTTGGGGCCCAGCTACAAATCTCAGCTTGGTGGATTCACAATACTTTGACCCTTTTATTATAATTTTTGAATTAACTAATTAACAAAATTAAACAGACGTTCATGTAAAAACAATCAAAAGGAAAAACAATGAAAGGAAGTTTCCCTCCCAGCCCAGACACCCAGCGCCTTCTCCAAGGCAGCCACGTTCTCCATTTCTTGGGTGTCCGACCAGCAATCATGCATGGGTGGGTGAGCACGTTCACTTGTCTCCCACCTCCCAAAACTCTGTTTTTTTTTTCTGCTAATGGGAGCAGGTTCTCCATAGGGCTGGTATCCTGAACAATCTAGGAGGTCGGGCCTTTCTGATCTCCTCCCGCCACCCCCCCCTCTGGCATAGAAGCCTTGGAGGATTGCTTTTGCAAAATGTGGACCTTGAGAAAGAAGGTACCTTCTAAGAAGGGCTCCTGGTGGCTAACTGGGTTCAAATTCAAAACCAAAACTGAGCCTTCCTTCTTTGGCACTGAGGCTCCCGGGGAGAGTCCCCACTTAAGGGCTGGCTCTGGTTTGTTCAGCTCAGAAGGGGCAGGTGAGGGTGCTGATAGATGGGGTTGGGGGATAAGTACCCGGTTTCCTGGTGACTTTCTTGTCACTTTCACTAGAGAAACACAAATAGACTGGAGAGAAGGATGTCGGAGGGGGTGGCGTAGGTAGGAAATTTCAGGGGCCATTTGTTGAGGGGCTGGGCTAAGGCTGGGGTGTGGAGTGGGAGTGACTGATATTCGGAATGCAGGGGGAGGGGTGGGGGGGCGTGTTAAAAAATGCAACCCTGCCTCACAGTCAGGACAACCAGGCAGGGCTCTGGGTCCAAAGCTAAGCCCTTGCGCCCCATGGGGGATCCTCCGCTTGAGCCCAGCGGTGCCCCAGTTTCCCCTGAAAGCAGGCACGCTGGCCAGCTGCGTGTCCTCCCTGGGCAGGGATCTCCCCTGCACAAGGAACCTATCATGTCACTTGGTTGTGGTGGCCCCTGACCCACGAAGTCTACTGGTCTCCAATTCCGGCCCAGGCCCACAAGCTTACCCCACGCAGCACACCCTCCCAGGGAGGGTGCGCTCAGGGAATGTGCTGTGGGCAGGGGAGGGGCCGCTGGGCAGCGATGGTTATTTTTGCTCAGCCTCCTGTCTGAGCCACAGCAAGAAGCGGGTCCAGAAGGATCGTGGCGAGCAGAGTGCCATTCACAGGGTCTGACCCTGTCCCCAAAAGAAGGAACCAGAAGAGCACAAGGCGTGTGTGGCTTCACGAGCCCCTCCTCACACTCACCCCCACCAGACACGTGCACTGACACACACCAACACACACGCACTTGCTGAAGGAAACCTGGAATGTTCTACCCCCTTGCTGCTCAAAGGGTGGCCCCTGGGCCTGCACCACTGGCACCAACCCAGACCTCGTTAGAAATGCAGGATTTCAGCCCCACCCTAGACTTGCTGAATCTGAACCAGCATTTTAACAAGATCCCCAGATGGTCTATCTGCACATTACAGCTTGGGATGTGCGGCTAAAAGGTCACAGACTCACACCGACAGCAGAGTTCAAAGAACCTCCATGCACTCATCCTGGAAACATGTACTCACCACCCGACTTGTGCCCGGGGTTCTCCCAATAAATAATTCTGGATCCGGGGCTGCCATGTAAGGTGGTGCAGGTTGCTCACTGCACAAACGCATTTCCCCCCTCCCCTGCCCCCCATGTTAGTGAGTGGGGGGATCTATGTTCAAATTTGCCATCCCAGGCCTGTGAGTCTGAATTCACAAGAGGGGCATGTTTTTCTGATTATAGCGAAGATGCACAGCATGGGCTAGTGGTCCCAACTGGCTCTGACTCTCACCTGGGTTCTCATGATGGCCTTGATGGCTGCTTCAAACTCCTCCGAGTTGTTGTAGTCGACGGTCCACACGTGGGGCTTGCCGATGAAGTTCTCTGCATAGGGATGCTGGGAGAACACCTGGCAGGGGCAGGGACACAGGCAGCTCCTCCCTGGCCTGCCAGGCTGGGCAGGGCTAAGGGGAGGCACCCCCGCCCATTTGTCCCATCTCTCCCTTCACCCCATGCCTCAGTCTCCCCCTTCCAGGACCTGCAGGTGTCCCCATCTCAGACCCTCCCCATCTGGGGCCAGGGTCCTTCCCACTGACCTCTCTGGAGGTGGGCTTGCCTCGGAAGAACTCGTGGTTGAGCGAGCTGTGGGGTGGGCTAAAGCGGGACTGCAGGAAGACACAGCCATTGGCGATGGCCTCCAGGGGGGCGGGACCCTCGTAGGGGAAGCCGAACCCTATGAAGAGCTGCAGAAGCCAGGTGGCACGATGGTCAGGGGAGCCTCAGGAAGCCAGGGGCAAGGGGGGGTTGGGACATTCACAGGAGACGCAGGGGCAGCGAAGACGGCACAGACCAGCTGGTTACCACGGCAAGCACTTCCCCTCTCTAGGCCTCGTTTTCCCCATTTGTAAAATAAGGGTTTTATTTTATTATCTGATTAGGTAATATCAATTGCCACTTCCTGCTCTAACAGGCTAAGATTCTGGAGGGAGAAGAAAAGAGTGGGGGTCTCAAGTTTAGAAGGCTTCAGACCCACACCTACAGCTGACTTCAAAGGATCTTTATGCATTCATCCTAAAAACATTCATTCAGCACCTAATTTGTGCTAGGGGTGCCCCAGAGTTGGCCTCCAGAAGGCATTCAATGAATGATTCTGAACCAAGGGCTGCCAAGTAAGGTTGTTCAGGTTGTTCACTGCACAAAGGTACCCTCTCTCCAACCCAACATCTATACACACACATATACATCCAGGAAGCCTGAGGAAAGAAGCCACAGTGAGGTCAGAAAAGGACCTGGAAGCTGGCTGGAGACTCTCTAGCCTCAGCCCTCAGCTGATACTCAGGGCCCAACAGCAGGGTCCTGCCCACTGTGCCAGCTGCTGCCCCAGGAATACAGCTCAGGGACTTCCAGAAGCAGTCAGTCAGAGTTAATGGCCCAAAAGAACTCCAGCTAGGAGCCCCCTGCCCAACCATCCCTCCCCAGTGGCTCCGAAAGCAAGGCTTGACCCAGAAGTCCATTGGGTTGGACCGGTACTGATGAAGGACAGGTGGGCAACCCAACTTGACTTCCCCATCCCTGAGCCTTTCACCGTGGGGCCTCCCCTGCTTGGCACATACCCCCATTTCTGCCCCCCAGCTCTGGCCAGCCCCGGACATGAGGCCTGGACATGAGGTCCAGGACAGCAGAGCAAGCTTGGGCCAGTCCACACCCAGAAGGGGTGACGAGTGGTGACGGCAGGGTGTAGGGGCAATGCCCTCGGAGTCTGTGGCTGGGCTGGGTGAGGAGGGGGTAGGGGGCGGGCTTACTTTGGCCTTGCGCAGCAGCTGCTGGAATTCAGGCTGCGGCAAGAGGCCATGGTTCTTCACGAAGGCTGGGACCTCGGGGGGCCGCTGGCTCTCGTAGTACACGGTGCCGTGGATCTCCATGTACTTGTTCAAGATGCCCAAGAACTTCTCCTTGCCCTGGAAGAGGAGGAGGAGGGCATGGGAGTCTCGCCCCAGCCACAGAAGGCAGAGCAGGCAGGAGAGAGACCCCCGGTCTAGAAGTCGGAAGATGTGGGGCCAGTCTTAGGTTGGCCATTAACCAGCTGTGTGATTCTGCATAAAGCTCCTCTCCTCTCTGATCCTCAATTGCTTCATCTGTGAGTTGCGGAGGTTGGACAAGACCAAAGGCTTCAGGGCTATTTTTAGCCATGGAACTGTTTTCTTTCCAGAGGACTGATATTAAAATGCATCCAGATGAGCTGCTTGGCCTCCCCTGAACTCCTGATGAACTCCAAGGGCCTCTAAGGAGATGGGGAACTCTTTGGAGCCCATCTATCCATCTCTTATCCATCCATCCTTTCATCCTTCCCTCTACCCATGCATCCATCCATCCTCTGTCTATCCATCCTTCCTCCCTCCATCAATCTATCCACCCAACCATCCATCCACCCACCCACCCAGCATCCATCCATCCATCCAACACGTATTTATTGAGCACCTACTATGTGCTGGCACTGAGCTCAGCGCTGGGATCACAGCAGGGACAAGACAGAGGACTTGTTCTCATGGAGAACACCTGAGTGAAAACCCCACAAACTAGCAAAGGCTCAGCCCCTCCAGATCCAAGAGTTCCAAATCCAGGCTCTGCTTCCTCTCAGTCCAAGGGGGCTGGAAACAGACCCCGCCTCCAGGGGAAGGGGACAAAGAGAGACAGAGCATAGATGATCCACAGGATGTACTGCTGGGTTCTACTTCTGGGGGTGCGGGTGGAGGGTGTTTGAGGCTCACAGAAGAGAGGCAGGGATAAGCTGAGAGGAAAGTAACTTCAGGATCATGGAGAAAGGTGGGACAGGGGAGGGGGCTCTTTTCAGGGAGGCTAGCTCCCAGCAGGCCAACAGATCAGAGAAAAAGAACCCATGGTTCTCCCACGGTCAGACAGCAAGGAGCTTTGGCCCAGGTTTGATCTGTAAATTACAGCTCTTAAAGAATGTTATCAATGCACATCAAAATAATTAACAATTCACATTTTGAAAATCAAATTATAAATTTTTCATAAGGAGGCCTTCCATTTCAGGTAATGGCACATTAGATAATGAAGATTAGCCCTGCCTCTGAGAACAACCAGGAAAGACGGGGACGTGTGGCAACATCTGTGAAGGCCCTGAAACTCTACCAAAGAATGAAGAATTACAAGGCCAAGATCCAGGACAAAAAGGAAAGGAGACTGTTGTGGCCAGTGTTGGGGTCAGCTTTTCCCCTGGGGCACCTGCTGATTCCAGGGGCAGCATCTAGGTGACAGAGCAGAGCTGCTGGGGGACAAAAGGCAGAGTTTCCTGCCAAGGAGCGGGAACCCTGATGGAAACCCCACACATTGGATTGGAACTCTGAGGACTTACACCTCAGAAGAAAGGGTGGACCAGGACTAGGGTGGCCCTTTAAGGGGCTGAACCTGTTTTAAATCATCTCAATCACTAGCTAAGGTGATCAGGAATTGCTAGAGCCCACAGCTGAAAGCCATGAGTAAAAGTAAAAGTAAATACTCTCTGGAAGAAAAGAGCAGCATCTTTGACCTCAAATGATTTCTTTAATTTGTCATATTCATTTTCCAGGACTCAAAAAAAAATAAAAATAAGAAGGAACCAATGTGGGGCTGGCCGAGTGGCTCAGTTGGTTAAGAGTTGGCTTAAGAGCGTGAGCTGAGTAACAGGGCTACCGGTTCGATTCCCACATGGGCCAGTGACGCTGCGCCCAGAGCTGAGCTGTCGCTGAGCTGCCAACAGGTGGCAGCTACACCCACCCGCAACTAAGACTAAACTCGACACCTTGAGCTGAGCTGCCGCCCTGATGGCTCAGTAGATAGAGCATGTGCTCTTAACAACAAGGCTGCTGGTTCAACTCCCACATGGGATGGTGGTTATACCCACCCACAACTAAGATTAAACACAACACCTTGAGCTTAGAGGCCATGAGCTGCCCAGATGGCGACTGGCGCCCTCCACAACTAAAATTGAAGAACAACAACTTGGCTGGTCCCCTTCCCCAATTCCCCAACGCTGTTCCCCGTCCCTAACTCCCCAATAAAACCTTTTAAAAAAAAAAAGTAACCACTGTCCACAGTGTATATTTAAAAGAAAAAAAAAAAAAAGGAACCAACGAAATCCTAATCAAAACCCCAGCAGGCTTTTTTTTGTAGAAATTGCCACGCTGATTCTAAAAGTCATTTTAAAATGGAAGGACCTAGAATATACAAAACAACTTTGAAAAACAAGAAGAAAGTGAACAGACTTATATTACTTGATTTCAAGACTCATTATAAAGTTACAGCAATTAAGATGGTGTGACACTGGCATCAAGATAAACAGATAAATCAATGGAACAGAATAGAGAGTCCAGAAATAGACCCACATGTGTATGATCCATTGATTTTTTTTGACAAAGGTGCAAAGACTTATCAGTGGAAAAAGGATAGTCTTTTCAACAAATGGTCATGGAACACTGACTATCCATATGCAAAAAAAGAAAAAAGAAATAAAACTTCAATCCATACTTCATATCATATATAAAAGTTAATTCAAAATGGATCATAGACTTAAATGTAAAACCTAAAACTATAAAATGTATAGAAGGGCTGACTGAGTGGCGCATTGGTTAAGAGCTGGCTTGGGACGCCAGAGGGCCCCGGTTCGGATCCCACATATGAGGGCCAGTGACACTGCCCTCCACAGCTAAGATGCTGAACAACAGCTCAACCTGGAGCTGGGCTGCCCTGAGTCACCAGCGACGGCGTAGGCTGCAGCCCCTGCTGCAGTGGGTTGTCATGGGCTACCGTGTGTGGCCAGCAGCCAGCGTGAGCGGCCAGCAGCCGCTGTGAGCGGCCGTCCAGAAGCCGGCGACTGATCTGCCTCGCCTGGGAAGAGCGCAATGATGGTTCCAACTTAGGCCAGTGAAGCAACGTCCTCTACAACTAGACTGAAGAACAAAATGACAGCAACTTGTCTGTTCCCTTTCCCCAATTCCCCAACGCTGGTCCCTCCCCCAATTCCCCAATAAAATCTTTTTAAAAAATAAAATGTATAGAAGAAAACACAGGAGAAAAATCTTTTGACCTTGGGTTAGACAAAGATTTCTTAGGTACAACTTCAAAAGCACAATCCACAAAAGAAAACACTGAACTTCATTAAAATTAAGAACTTTTGCTCCTTGAGAGATGCTGTTAAAATAAAGACAAGCCACAGACTGGGAGAAATTATTTGCAAAGCATAAATTTGATAAAGGACATATCTAGAATATGTAAAGAACTCTAACAACTCAATAATAAGAAAATGAATGACCCCATTTTTAAAATGGGCAGAATTTTTGAAAAGACATTTCAGCAAAAAACAATAGATGAAAAACAAATAAGCACACAAACATATCTTCAAAATCATTAGTCATTGGGAAATTACAAATTAAAACCACAGAAGAGACCATTGCATACCTGTTAGAATGGCTAAAACTAAAAAGATTAACCATAGCAAGTATTGATGAATTTGTAAAGGTGCTAGCATTCTCATACATGGCTTATAGAACCATAAAATGGTACAACCACTTTTGTTAAAAAGTTAAACAGTTAAATAGTTTTACAATATAACCCAGCCATTCCACTTATAGATATTTAACCAAGAGAAATAAGGGCCTATGTCCATTCAAAGATTTGTACACCAATGTTCATAGCGCTTTATTTGTAATAGCCAAATGCTGAAAACCACCCAAATGTCCATGAACAGGTGAACGGACAAACAAAGTGCGGTAGATCCATGCAATGGGATATTTACTCAGCTATTGAAAAGGAATAAACTATTGATAAGTGTAGCAATATGGATGAACCTCAAAATAGTTACGCTCAGGGAGAAAACCCATACAAAATGAGCATGTGCCATATGATTCCATGTATATAAAGTTATAGAAAACGAAAGCTAATCTAGTGACAGAAAGCAGATGACTGGTAGCACGGAGATGAGGAGGAGAGGAGGCACAGGAGGAAGAGGTGCCAAAGGGGTGAAGGAGAACTTCAGGGGAGGTGGCTACATCACTGTCATGATTGTGGCGATGCTTTCACCGGGTGCATACATGTCACAACTTATAAAATTATACATTTAAACATATTTACTGGGCCAGCTGAGTGGCACGATGGTTAAGAGTTGGTTTGGGGGCCGGCCGAGTGGCGTGTTGGTTAAGAGCTGGCTTGGGACGCCAGAGGGCCCCGGTTCGGATCCCACATATGAGGGCCAGTGACACTGCCCTCCACAGCTAAGATGCTGAACAACAGCTCAACCTGGAGCTGGGCTGCTGCGAGTCACCAGCGATGGCATAGGCTGCAGCCCCTGTGGCAGTGGGTTGCCATGCGCTACCATGTGTAGCCAGCAGCCAGCGTGAGTGGCCAGCAGCCGCAGTGAGCGGCCGTCCAGAAGCCGGCGACTGATCTGCCTCACCAGGGAAGAGCGCAATGATGGTGCCAACTTGGGCCAGTGAAGCAACATCCTCCACAACTAGACTGAAGAACAAAAGGACAGCAACTTGTCTGTTCCCCTTCCCCCAATTCCCCAGCGCTGTTCCCATCCCCCCAATTCCCCAATTAAAAAAAAACTTTAAAAAAACCACAAAAACATATTTACTGTATTGCATTCAATTATACATAAATGAAATTGTTAAAAATCTATTTTTAAATTACAATATTTAAATACGTACCTTGATTTTAAAAAAAAATCAAGTACATTCGGAGACAAGACTACATGATCAAAATCCAAGAGAAACAGACAATGAAAACAGACCCATAGGAGATCTAGAAGCCGGAGGGAGTTACCACCCACAGACCTGAAGATAAATATGCTGATTACAGTCAAGGAACTAGAAGATAAGGTTTGAACCCAAATGGAAACGCCAGAAAGTAAAGGTGCGATGACTGACGTGAACAACTGACGTGAAGAACTAAACGATGACTTTAACAGCAGGTTAAACACAGTTGAAGAGAGAATTCATTTAATGAAAGAACAAAAGAAAATATCTAGAATTAAGCATAGAGAAACTAAAGGGTAAAAATTACAGAAAGGAATATAAGACCTAATGAATATATAAATGGAGTCTCAGAAGGGAAGGAGAGAGATTGGGCCAGAGCAATACTTAAAGAGATAATTTCTCTTTTAGCTGAGAATTTTCTAAAACTAGTAAAAGATCAAACCACAGATTCAAAAAGATCCACAAACTCCAAGTGGGAGGAATCAAAAAACCACACAGAGGCAAATCATAGTAAAACTGCTGAAAACCAAACAAGCAGAAGTCGTAAAAGCAGACAACAGAGGAAAAAAGACAAATTACCTTTAAAGGAACCACAGCAAGACACACACTGACTCCACAACCAAAATGATAGAAGACAGAAGACAATAGAATATTTCTATAATGCTGAAAGAAAATAACCACCAAGCTAGAATTCTGTACACCGCAAACATATCCTCCAAAAATAAAAGTGAACATTTTAGAAAAATTTTAGAAAATTAAAAATACAATAAGAATATAAGCTGGAGGGGTACAATTAAAGCATTTTAAGGTTCTTACCCCATAAAAGGTAAAAGTGTTGATTTATATTAGACATTGATAGGTCAAGGATGCATGCTATAATCTTTAGGGGAGCCATTAAGGGAGTATAATTACTTAGCTAATGGCTAAGTGGATTTACAAAGATACATCAATGTAAAAAAAGATGAGAAATAAGAGGAAAAAGAACATGGAACAGGCAAGAAAAAGAATAGAAATCAACTAGTAAGATGGTGGATTCAAAGCCAAATATATTAGTAACTACACTAAATGTAAAAGGACTATTTACTTTAAAACAGAACACGCTTACAGAAAAAAAAATCAACAATGTAAAGTATGAAGAAAATGCCAAATTCCCAAGTCAACTTCCTAATCCCATTATCAGAAGCAGCTATGATTAAGTTTTTTGTGTACGTTCCTTAGATCTTTGATGCATCATTAGCATATATACATTTTCTTTGAAACACACACACGTGCATAAATGGGTTCATGTTACATACACTTTTCAGCAACATTTTTCCACCACACACACACACACACACACACACACACACACACACACACACACACAGAGACACGTTTGTATGTAAACTTCAAATTTCACAAAACCAAATTTACTCAATACATATAAGGTCCTCTGATAGTCTACAATTCTATTATTTCTGTTATTCTATTTCATTTTAAAAGGCTAGCTAACACTCTGAGCTGACAGAAAAAGACAAATACTGTATGGTCTCACTTAAACATAGAATCTAAAAAAGTTGAACTCAGGGGCTGGGGGCACAGGGAAATGCAGAGACGTTGGTTAAAGGGTACCAACTTCCAGTTAAAAGATGAAGTTCAGGGATTTGATGTGTAGCATGGCAACTGTAGTTAATCGTACTGTATTGTATACTTGAAATTTGCTAAGAAATTCACGGTGTTCTCACCACACCAAAAAAAAAGGTCACTATGTGAGGTAATGAATGTGTTAACGAACTTGACTGTGGTACTCGTTTTTACAATATACACACATATCAAGCCACTGCGTTGCACACCTTAAGTACATATCATTTTTCTTCGTCCATTTTACTTTAGCAAAGCTGAGGAGCCCAAAACCCAGAGCTCTGCGTAAATTTCACGGCTCATCCACGAGTTGCAACCTGCAGTTTGAAAACCCTCCCGGCTCTGGCACAGGGCACTTCTGAGGTCTGGAATGTGTCCTCCAGCCACAGGGAGGGCTTGCCCCGGGCCTGAACCGGCTGCCACTCTCCCAGCCTCACTCCTGCTCCCTGGGACTTCACGCTCTATTAAAATAGCAGCATCTACGCCTGAGCCTTAAGCTCTGTTTCCTGGGGACCCAGAAGAAGACAGGCCTCCTCGGCACAACCTCCCCTAAAACCCTTACCCTGATCCTGGCTGCCACTTCCATAGGAGGTGACGACCTGGTGTCACCTCCCTCCTCCACTTCTCTGCCCCCGGATCCCATGACCTCCGGACAGCACTGGTCCCAAGATGCCGCTTTCATTGTTCTATCATCCAGCCACCTCTGACTTCCTTTCGTCACAGAGACCAGAGCAAAGCTGTCTTTTTTTTTTGGAAGCCGCTTCTTTGAGGCCACCTGATAAACAGCTTTGCTTCCAGCAATCACAGAGGTTCCAGGGCTAGAGATAAAACCTTTGTCCTCCCAGACATCATAACCCGGCATCCTCTTAGGGGAGTTTCAGCACAGTGTTTTCTGGTAAAAGCAGACACAGACTGTGCTAGCCCCTTCCCCGAACCCCCGGCTTCCATGGCAGCCAGCTTGTTGGGCATCCTATGAGAAGGGTCTCTCGTCCCTGTCCCCAGAGCTCATGGTGGACACTGACATCTCATCCCAGGTCTGGGACCTTTAGTCCTGCTTCCAGAGCTGCCCTCTGCCATGAATCCAAGGCTTCACAAGTGGGGAGGCTAAATAGGGTTGGAGGTAAGTGTGCTGGCTCTAGAGTGAGATGTGGGTTCGAATCCCAGCTCTGCCTGTTACCAGTTTGTCACTCTGACCTGTGCCTGGGTTCCTCACGTATAAATGGGCATGGTAACACGTGGCACCTGCCGCACAGTGTGGCGAATAAGTGAGCACCTAGTATCCTAGGTGAGTATCCTCAGTAAGCTCTGAGTGAAGGAATATCAGCTGCCACCATGACCTCCCAGGGTTGTTGTGGCCAGGACCATGAGGCGTCCCTGTAATCTCTCCTTTCTCCTCCTTCCTCAGTCACAGGATGCCAGCACTGAGCTGGGTACAGGGCTGCCTGGAGCAGAACCCCTTCCCGCGTCCCCTGAAACTGGGCAGGGCCGCATGGCTGGGATCTAGCCAGGGAGCTGCGTGGGGAAGAGACGTGTGTAATGACCAGGCAATGTCCCTAAATGTGGCCGTTCTTGGCCCCTTCCTTCTCCGTGCTGGCTGGAGTGCACACGGAATGACTGAAATGTGTGTGGTCATCTTGAATCACGAGTTAAGACTGAGGGTTGAACCTGAACAGGGCAGGTCCACAAGGCGAGAAGGTCCACACTGGCCCTGGCTGACACCAGAGTCTGTGAATAGGCAAGAAAACATACTTCCATCTTGTTGAAGTCACTATTAGCTCAACCTAATCCTAACTGATACGGTCTGAGGATTATTCACTGAGATGGCCGTGTGATAACGGGCTTGACGCAGGGTTCAGGTGCTCAAGAAATTTGCCATGGTCAGCATCCTCCCTACTGACCTTGACCTCGCTGCCTGCCTGAGGTCCGTAAGCCATCCTAGGAGCTGCCCTGTGCCCACCGAGCCGGACCCTGACCGCCAGGCTCCCGCCTCTCCCCTCACAGAAGGCCCAGGAAAGAGACCTCCTGGAACCCCGCTGTCCCCTCCACCCTCCTCCCTACCTCAGTCCATCCACAGGAGCCACGAGCCCAGGCACGTCGACTCCGGAGCACCCCCAGGGAGGAGGAGAGGGGGGAAGGAGGAAGAGGGAGCACACTGCAAACAGTCAACATACCTGGAGCTGCCTCATTGCCAGGGCGGCAGAGAAAAGAGGAGAGAGAACAGATCAGGGACGGTGAGTGAGCGACCTCCCACATGGCAACACTTCTCTGGGGACCCCGCCCTGAAGGTGGAGCCCCGATCCCTGCTCGTCTACTGCCTTCTCCAGTGCCTCCCGTCCCCACAGAGTCCCCAAGTCTAGCCAAACCCCCTTTGCTGGGCTTACGGTGTTTGTTGGTCCATATTAGGGAGGGTGGACGGTTAGGTCACCGTCCTCGATAAAGGACATTTGAGTTTGTGGCAGGGAGTGGGGGTGAAGAGGGGGCAAGTTACTAGCCTCCAGGCCAGGATTTCCTGTGGCAGTGAGGAACCTCTTTTCGGATCCATTACTGGCGGACGTTTTCCGTGCCCAGTGCTGGAGGTGATGGATGGGAGCCGAGTCCTGGAGGTGGGAGAGCCTGGGGGCCCGGCGCGCAGCAGCCATGCTCACCTTCCAGATACTCGCCTCCTTGCCGTACACAACGGCCATGTTGCTGGCCTTGCCATCTTTGATGAGCTGCTTCTCCGTCTCGTTGAGCTCCTCGGACACGAAGCCCATGAAGGAGTTGTCCGGGGTGTGAGCTGCAGCCAGACCACAGGTCAGGAGGGGGTCACCAGAGAGCGAAGAAAACACCACGTCTACCAGGACAGGTCCCATGCGAGGGGTCCCCGTTCGGCAGGGATGGGGAAGGGGGCTGGCGGGGGCTAAGAGACGGTCACAAAGCCTTGGAGCAGAAGGAAATATGAGAGGTCACCTAGTCCCCCTTGCTTGTTTTCAGAGGAGGAAACTGAGGCATGGGACGGACGAAGCCAAGGGCCCACGTGACCCAGCCAGGACCCTACTCTCATCGCAGTCCCACTTCCCGTTTGCTTTGGCTCCTCCCTCTGCTCTCACTCCGTGCGCATCCATCAGCAGAGTCTGCAACTGCAGGTGGGGCTTTCCCCATTTCCGCATCACTGCACCTGGTCTGGGACCACTGTGACCACTGCCCGTCATTTCTGCTGTCCTCTTGGCACTGTCTTTTCTCCTGAGCAATCCTTTCAAATGTAGGTCCCATCAGGTCCCTTCTCTGCACAAAACCCTGCCGTGGCCCCATAAGCCAAAGTCCCCGCAAGGATGTCAGGATCTGCCCCCTGCCCCTCCCCCTTTGACAGCCTCTCATACCACCCCCGCCCCAGACCCTGCCAGGCACACTCCTTCTCTCACACAGATCTCTGCTCACGGGGCTCCTATATTTTGTCCTAGGGCTCGCTGACCAGATGTGTTGTATACTGACTTGTGTGTGCACTGTGGTCAGGATAAGCCCGAAGAGGGCAGGAGCGGTCTTGTTCGCTTTTGCGTCCCTGGCACCTGGGACAGCCGGCTGCTGGCTCCTGAACGTGCGGGCGCATCTCCACTTTCACACCTCCGAGCATCTGCCCCCCTGTTCCCTCTGCCTGGAGGGCCCTCCTCCATTTTCTTGGAAGAGAAAATCCTATTCTGCCTTCAGGGCCCCGCTCGTATGCCACGCTGTCTCCTCCCAGAAGCCTCCTCAGGGGTCCACGTGCCCTCCCTCTGCGGCCCCGTCCACTGTGGTCAGGCCTCTGTTAAAGCTCAGAGCGCACATGGGCTTCCTCTCATCCCCAGAACCCAACACTCCAGGGCAGGGGGTGCATTTGCGCTTGTGCTCCAAACCCTCAGCCATGCCCAAGTATCACCACTGGTTAGCGTCCGCCATGTCTACGATGGAGGCGTAGGCACAAGTGCCATCATTTGCAAGGTACCAGGAGGGACCCTGAAGAAAATATTTATGGAGCCCCATCAAATCTCCTTGACTTTTCCGGGTAGGGGAGGCCGTGGCCAGTAAGTTGGCAGCGGCCACACATTCTGGACTTCCCAGAACAGCCCTGATCCCAACTCCTCCACTTCTTCATTCCAGAGGCATGTTTTTCACACTTGAGCATTTCTGAAACTGGGATGTATATTTTCATCAAACATGTGGATTTCACGTAGTATTTCTACCCACCCTTCGACACCCACAGAAAGCCGTAATCAATCTGGTGCATCTTTAGAAGAGGTGATGGTTTCTCTTCCAAGTGTCCAGAAAGCTCACACATTGTTAGGGCTCAAAATCTGACCACTGTGTGGATGGGTCTTTGCTGGCTACAGACAGAAGAGCTCTTCTCTAGAGCTTCCGAGGCATCAGGACGGGCCCCGGAGGCCTGGAGTTACTGCTGCCGTGGTCGGGCGCCAGCGGCAGTCCTGTCTCAGGAGGCTGCGCCCAGGCCGGGAGAGGCCCCAGGAGGGCAGGCCAGGCGCTCCCGACCACCTTTCTCTGCTGGGCCCCCATCCTCTCTCCTGCCCCTCCGGCTCCAGCTGGGGCTGCCACCCCAGGCCTCCTTCCCTGATTACCATTTCCTCCCTATTCTAAGAGTTAAAGAATCCTTCATTCCACCAACTCCACCAGAAGGAAGAGGTTTAGGACACAATTAGCTAAACTAGTGGGTGTGGGACAGAAGTATTGCAACCAATTAAAATGGCAGAGGCCATTAAGCATAGAGCTTCTGGGGCCAGGGCAAGGGTAAGGCCTGGAGAGGCAGCCAGCCTCCCAGGTAGCTCATTGGGGAACTCAACTGGCTAGATGGGAAAGAGGTCTGCTCAAGAATTCCTTCCTGCACTTGGCACATCATTAAAACCAGCAGGCCTCTCTGGTTTTTGTTTTCTTTCTTTAATTTATTCGATCAATTAACATTTTCTGAGGATCTCGATTGGCTCCAAGGAAATAAAGATAAATCAACAGAGGCTCCTTCTTGAGCGATTCATAATCTATCAACAGAAATAAGTGTATAAGCAAAAAACACTCATATGCTTCAATATATGCTTTAACAGAATTAGGTTTAAGAGTTATAAAAACATGCTGGAGATGAGGGGATCAGGGAAAGCGATGACAAAAAGGAGACATTTGACTTGGGGTTTTGGAGGATGAGTAGGAGTTTGGCAGGTTTGGACCACCACTTCCAGTGGGCTCTACCCCAGGACACGTCCTCATTTTCCCACTGGGTTAAGGGGTTACTGCAGGGGCCTCTTAACCCGTCTCTTGCTTCCCCTCCTCTACCACTGCCCCTTCGACCATCTGCAGTCTGCCTGCCAGAATCGTGTGTCTCAAAAAGCCTTTCCTCCATGACATTCCCTAGCTCAAGAACCTACAGCGAACCTCAGATTACGGTATCCAATGTAAACTCGGGAACCTTTGCTAAAAGACCCCCACCTCTGCTCCCAGGCCCTCCATGTCCTTCTTACCAGCCTCATAGCTCCATGCGTCCTTTCTCAGTGAGCTAACTTTCCAAGGCTTTTAACTCTATAGTTTTTTCCTCTCTGCATCACATATACTGTTTCCGCATCCTGGAGTATCACCACCACTTCCTCCTTCCCTTCCCTCCACAATCCTGCGCCCTGGGACTCTCCCCACTCCATTCGCTCTCCTGGGAGCACCATGTCATCAGATGACCTGTTAGGACAGTCACTTTTCTCTTGGGGAAGCCTCATGCAACCTTGCAATGGGCCCCGGGGAGGGAGTTCGGTCCCCACAGAGCCTTGTGGCCTCAGATGGGACACGCAGCCTCTCAGGGCCTCAGTTTCCTCGTCAGGATTCTAAGGAAACTTCCCGCCTTCTCAGGATTCTCGGGTCCCATCAAACCATCACTTACGTACCCTAAAACTGCACCTGCCTCTACCACAGTCTAGGGCCTGGACAGGTAGTCAAAAGAAGACTCTAAGCCCCTGAAAGGGGTGCATTCCCTTGACAGGCTGAGTGAAGATCAGCTCCTTTCCTTACAGCGAGTCCCTCAGGACCCTGCTCGGAACCTTAATTTAGAAACAATCCTACCCAGAGTGCGTATCTGGCTTTCTGACCCAGAGCCTTCAAAGAGCCGCCAATTCGACATGCGAGATGCTGCTAGAGGCAGATATACTGACAACAATTAGAAGTGACAGCTGATAGCCTCCCAACAAGGAGGAAAAGGGAGACATCAAACAGTGACAGAAGAAGCCACTTAGCAAGGGGACACAGCTCTGCACACCTCTGCCGTCCCCACAGGGCTGGCCCCTGAGCCAGGGAGATAGAGAATTGACCCTGAGTTGTCCACGAAAGGTTATTTCCAGCATTCTGCATTTAAGAGGGTAGGTCGGTGTGTGCATATATTTTAAAGTCGCATTAAAAATAACTAAAGATCAGCTCAAATTGCATTCCTTGCCTGAAGCCCATCATCCGAGGGGTTCCACAGGGGCCCCAGCCTCTGCCTACAGCCTCACTTCCTGTTATCCCCAATGTTGGAGCCTACCAGAGAGCTGGCATTTCTGGAACCTTCCAGTTCTTTCCACATCCACCTTCACTACATCTGTGCGTGTCCTGCCCCTTCACCACCCAGTCCACTTTTGGCCTCTCTTTCTGGAAGACCACAGCCTCCTCTTTGTCCCGGAAGCGTGTGCTCAGCCACTCTCTGAGAGCCACGTGTGCTCCTAGAGGACAAAGGCCACGTCCTGGTGTTGGAAAGGTCACCACATTCCTCCAAAGCCAGGCTGGAAGCCCCCCACTGGGCTGCTCCCTCCATGCTCCCCGCTCCCCAAACACCAGCAGAGGCATCCTTCCAGGAGGCTTCCTGGAGGAGACCCATGCCTGGCATGTTCCACCCCCTGCAGGAGGGGGGGATGTGAGACCCCACTTCCTCCTGTGTCACCTCTGAGAGCCACAGAGGCCCCACCCCCCGCCCCCCACCCACGCCATTCGGCTGGGACACTCACGGAACATGGTCATGAACTGCTTGGGGTTGAGACTCCAGTAGCCCCAGTTGGTCCGGTAGCCATGCAGCGTGGCATACTCCTCGTGGTTGTACGCAGGTTCTGTCCCAAAGGTGTCGATGACCCGGATTCGGCACCTGTCCCCCCAGGACCGGGAACCAGGGTCAGCAACCTCCCGTGTCTCCCCGGGCTGGTGTTGCCCCAGCCGTGGGTGCTGTAACAGCCAGTGGCTGGTCAGGGTAGTGCAATACGTGGTCAGAGCTTGGGCTCAGACACTTCCTCGCTGTGTGACCACAGGCAGGAGCCTTAACCTCTCTGGGTCAGTCTCCCCATCTGTCAGGTGGAGATAACAACAGCCTGACTATCTCAGGGCCACATGGATACACCTGAACCATGAACCACTAACTCAGACACTGTTGGTTATTACAGCTGGCCTAAGGGAGCCGAGGAGGAGAGGTCCCTCCCCACTGCTGCAGGGGTCACCAGTCCAATTTGCACTTTCCTGGGCAGAGAATAACAGCCACTTGAATCTACAGCCCTCTGCCTAGGAGCCTGCCACCCCCAGGATGTGCCTGGCCAACGGTGGCTGAGATGCAAAAGGACAGAGACCAGCCACTGCCACAGCCCATCTTTGGGAAGGCAGTGCCTCGAGGTCTCTTCTCCTCTGTGAGTCTGATCACTTCAGGCGGACCTCCCAGCTCTGTCCCACAGTGCTGAGGCTGCTCTCAACGGCCACAGCCCCCTCCGTCCACCCCACCCCCGGGAGTGGGCACCTGAGACTCACAGATCCCCACGTCCCCACGTGGAGCTCCCTTACCCTGCCTCCTTCCCCGTGACCCAGAATTGTCCACAGACTGCTGACATCGGCGCTATTCCCCCAGAGAAGGGGCAGGGCGGGAGGAGGAGGCATCCAGTGCTCAGAGAACATGCATTAATAATAAAAGCAATAACGCTGCCTGTCACTTTTTTTCCCCTAATAAAATCATGTGGGATAGTCAACGGGACTGGAGCAAATGTAATAAATAGCAGGGCTCCTTGTGCTAAATTAAAGCTGTGTCCTGCTGAGTGCAGAGAGCAGAGTGATGGCACTGGCCTTCGTCCAGACAGGAGCGGGGGAGGGGGGCTTGCTGGGTGCCCACACAGCAGAGGTCACAGCCCCAGCCACTGGCCCATTCACGCCCACTCCTCCCTGCAGTTCCTCTGCCCCCACCCCCATCTAGGTAACCTCTGACCCCCACCCTTCAGCCTGCCATGAAGCAGAGGGCCACTGGAGGACTCCCTGTGGTTTATGAATTGTCACCGTTAGCTGGGAAGCAGTGCTCTGTGGAGGAGGATGGTGGTGTGGAGGGGGAGGACGGAAGACAGGGAGAGCCTCCCTTCCACTGCGGAACCCGGGACCATGCAATTCTCCCACCCTGGGGGCCAGCTGGCAGCCGGAACGCCGGGGCAGGCTCAAGGGGGTAGGGCTGCCATGCACTGCCACCACCGCCCGCGGCCCTCTCACCGGTACTTCTTGAAGGACAGTCCCATGTGCTGCTTCATCTGCTGTAGGCCATGGTAGTCGGTGTAGATGAGGTCGAAAGGCAGGGGCACGGTGAGCGGGCAGTTCCCCCGGCCTGGCGGCACCCCTAAGTTACTGAAAGAAGAGCCCTTCAGAGTCTGAGCCCAGGCTGCAGAAACCCACCTTTCCAACCGGCCCTGCGTCCGAGGGTCCTGGTGCCCATCCTGGTTCCTACAGCCCAAGGTAAACATGGTGGGCGGGGGGCTGCAAAGGAGAGCGAGGTTGTACACGAGTACCGGCCGATTCCTGGAAAGAGCAGGGCGGCCAAGTACAGTCATGTAGGTTCTTCACTGCACAGGAGACTCCAACGAGGGGCAAGTGGGGCTGAGACCCAGCCTGGGCGAGCGGGCTAGCTTGCCACGCTGCCACGCACCTGGCTGGGCCGCCTGCCAGGAGGGAGAGGAGCCTTTTGTTAATTCCCATAAACGTGCTCCCTGCAGGGCTGTGTCTGCCCAGAGGGGGTGTCTTTAACATTCACTAGACGCCAGAAATGCCCGCTGAGCGCAGCTGAAGTGTTTGGAGCTGAAGGATCCCAAGCTGCCTGCCTCAGAAGATATCCTTCTGCTCTGCTGGCCAGCTCCTGGCCCACAGGATGCCCACAGGTACCCTCCACCTGCCAGATCACTCACACGAGAGTTTCCCTCTGGGACAGAGCTGCCTCTGTGGACCCAGTGCTGGGGCCTTTGGGTCATCTCACTGGAACCTGAAGGATATGGCCACTGCTGCTGGTGTAAACGCCTTTGTCCACCACACAGGAGCCCCTGCTTAGCCTGCCGACGCCTTCTACCCAGTGCAGGGGTGAGGAGGCGTTTAGAGCCCCACTCAGAGAGCCTGAGCCAGGCGGGGAGTGGCACCGGCCTCCCAGAGGATCCCGCAGCAGACGCCCACCTCCCGATGCCCACCACCCTTGGTTTCATGGTCCAGGTGTCCCTTCAGGGTCCATGCGACCAGCAAACTCAGGTGGAACGTGAGGACCTCTGGGAAGGTCACTGTCTCATCAGTAGCACAGGGTGACAGTTGCTCAGTTTCCTGGGTCACATCTCTGGCTCCTTGAGACAATTCAAGCCAGGCGGAAAAGTACCAGCCTGGGTGTCTTTGTGCTGTCTTAGATCATGCTCAGCATGCCACCATCAGAGGCTGGGGTGGGGGGGTGGCACTGTGTACGCTGTCCCCTGAGCACACTGCCCAGGCAGGCACCTCTGCAATGAGGTTTATGGTAACCTGATGACAAGGCCATGATGGAAAGATGTCGGGGGAAAGCTGTGCCACCGGGACTGAGGCCTCGGGGTGGGCCTGTGCTCTACAGAGAAGGGCAGAGGAGGGGAGGGGCTTCCTCGGTGCCCTCCGCCACCAGCCAGTGCCCCCCTAGCGTCACTCAGCTTCCCCACACTGGCTCCCCTCCCCATGGTAGAACCTTGGCTGCAGAGAGGGGAAAGCAAAAATCCATTCACTATTTCCTCCTCATTTCCTACCCATACACTTAAAAATGGCCAAGCCTCCTCCCCGACCCAGCTACCACTGCAGCCATTCCCCTCTCCAGCTGGATGGCTACACAGGCAGCTCAGAACCCGGGCTCCTCCGGCAGGGAGCGCTTCGGAGGCTTTTTTGTTGAAATACCCAGAAAGCAAAGGGAAATGAGCATAGACGCCATGCTGGAGTTCTAGAAGGTATGCCATCACCTTCATCATCTGCGTGGCTACCATTCCGAGCACGGGCACCATTCCAAGTGCTTTCAATGTATTAATTCATCAGCTCCTTCCAACTGGGCAGCTTCCCTTCGAGATCAGACCCATTCTTATCCTGCTCCCCTCGTTACAGATTAGGAAACAGAAAGGTTTAGTAATTTACCCAGGATCGCACAGCCAGGCTCCAGACCCACACTCCACCCCCCACCCCAACACACACACACACACACACACACACACACACACACACTGCTATGTTTTCCTGTTTTTCCTGCCTACCCAGGCCTACTGGGCATCAGACAGTACCATGGTGGATGGTCAGATCAGTGACATCCCCAAAATCGGGTCCCCAGGCTGCCAGCAGGTTCCGCTCCAGTCCCAGTTTTGTTGCTAACCTTAGAGGAGTCATAAGCCTCAGGAATTTCATTTTTCTCATCAGCAAAAGATCAATAAAAACGCCTGCCTTCCAGGGTTCCTGGTAGCACCAAGCAAGGCAAGGAGAGTGAAAGTGCCACTAATCGCTATTACTTTTAGTCATGGGTTCTATCTTCTGAATTTCCGAGTCTGGCAGCTCCTTTCTAACCGTGCTCCCACCCCCAGCTCACCCACAGCCCACTTAAGGCCCTGGTCATTTCTCACCCAGAATCATTTGTCACCTAGAATCACCTCCTGATCCTTAACTCAAACCTCTGCCTCCTCCTCCAGGAAGTCTTCCTTGGACCCCTGGGCAGGGTAAGACACCCCTCCCCCAGACCCCCTCCGTCCCTCCCCCAGTCCTCCCTCCACACTGTCCTGAGTCACCTCTTCAGGACTGGGCCCCCTGGGGGCAGGGCCACTTCATCTTTGAAAGCCCAGAGCCAGGACCGGATCTGGCCCAATTAGTACCTGCTGTGTTATGAATGAATAAACAAACCAATGAACCAGATGGACCCTCTTAGTAAGAATTGGTTTAAAGGTTGAAAATCCAGTCAAGAAAAGTCTATCAGGAGAGAGAAGGTGCGTGAGTGAGAGGAGCCCAAGGATGACGGGTGGCTCCCGGCTCTTCCAGAGGGTGACAAGCCTCCCGTCTGGACTGGACACAGGGGCCCCTGAAAGGACGGGTCCTGAAAGGACCCACATAGGAAGGGGAGGGGAGATAACTGGCCCCGAGGGTCCCCTTTCCAGGAGTTAATGAGAAGCCACATGGTCGCCCCAGCCCAGGAGACAAGGATTTTCAATTTAAGGTGACTTCACGGGAGATAAGTGTGCACAGCTGCCTCATTACTCTTGTCACAAGGAATCTGAGCTTGACGAGGGGACAGCAGTGAGGGTCAGCCATGGGAGAGGGAGCTGCGGTTTTATCACTTATGATTTAAGTTCACTTTTATGGGCAATTTTACGCTAAGTGGTCGGTTGCAGTAGGGACATGAATTGAAAAATGTTGTCTCCTGACAACCTTCAGCCAAAGGTGCCCAGGGAGGCCTGGCTGCGCAATTCCACCTTCTGTGCTGACTCCTCAAAAGGCCCCTGTCCAGACGTTTTCGTAAACTCAATGCCAAGTTCCTCATCTCTTCGGACTCAGCCCAGAGCTGTGGGGGATGCGGGTCTCTCAGAGCCTCCCCACCCCCAGCACCCAGGGGAGTTGGGGAGAGGCATCATCTCAGGGTGAAGCGACGTAGCGCCCCCGCCTGCCCACTACCATACTCAATGCTTGGGAAGGATGGGGGAGGTGATGTGGAATCGCCAAATTGGGTGGTTGGAATATAGTTGTAAATGTCCCCAGGCCACCTGAGTGGGAAGCTAAATACAAGATGAAAGGGGAAGGGGGTGACCTAGGGAAAATAGAGCTTTTCTGTGGGTCACCTAGTTATCATCTGGCCCCCAGGCCCAGCCCAAATCATCCACATGAAACCTACCCTCTTTGAGGGGGTTAGTGTTTAATGGGGACAGAGTTTCAGTTCAGGAAGATGAGAAAGTTCTGGAGATGGACGGTGGTGATGTCTGCACAACCATGTGGTTGTACTGAAGCCACTGAACTGCACACTTATAAATGGTAAAATGGTAACTCTATGTTATGTAAATTTTACTACATTTTTTAAAAAAAGCCCAACTGTCCATGCTCGTGGGACCCGTGTCCAGCCCCATAAGGACATGCTCAGTGCTCTGCCTCCCATGGGCGCCCGTGTCCCCATCTTCTCCAGGACAGTCCCGCCCTCCAGACTCCTAGCTGCCCACAGTGTGGGGGCTCAGCAAATATCCAGAGAAGGAATGACTCCACTCTTTGCTAGAAGATCAAAAGGTAGGATGGATAGATGGGACAAGGGAGGAGAAAAAAATATCTACACCCAATAGAAAAACAAAACAAATTCAAAAGCGCTGAGTTCTGACGAAATGGAGAGCACGGTGGGCGTGAGCTCCAGCGCGAGCTTGCTGGCGGCTTTGCTCGGACACACAATCGTTCTGCTGTCTGCCTCCACTCCCCTAATGTGACATTTGGACGGATTTCCACCATCCCTTCTAGGTTAAAAATCATCCAGTTTTATTTCTCCCCTGTGCCTTTGGTCTGTGGCTGGAAATAACCTCTCTAGGTGGTGCTCAGATTCTAGAACAAACGATTCTCTCCCTCTCTCTCTTCAATGTGTGGGAAGGACCTAATTAAAAAGAGTTCTTACAAAGTGCTCCAAGATCTTTGGCTCCAGGTGCTAAAGTGCACACGGGGAATGTCAGCTTCCCCCGGATCTATCTCATTACTGGAGCACGCTGGCTGGGAGCCAGGAGATTTCTGTCTCCCCAGGGGCCTGCTGTCCCTCTGACCCTGCCCAGTGCCCAGCTCCTGAGCATGATGGCACTGCCCCCGTCTCTCTCCCATGGCCCATTACTAGAGCAGGCCGCTGCTGCTTCCCAACAGCACGAGTGGACATAAAGCAGGCAGCCTGGAGAGTTAACTGGGCATCTAATGAGCTGCCTGAGGAGGGGCGGGGCGAGGAGGACCGCTAACGAGGAAGGAATGATCTCCTACAGCGCCTTCTTCTCTAGCCCAGGACGGGCTGACCTTCCTGTGCCCAACAGAAGCTGCCCGATGATGCCATTGTGATGGTCCCTCCCTCGGCTCCCATCTCTCACAAAAAGCCAAATGTTCCTGTACCCTTGGAGGCTCAGGGACCACTGCTCAGGAGAACTGGCAGGTCCCCAGCAGAGTTAGGGCTTGGAGGAAAAGGGGATTCAAAGGGAAAACAGGTGGGAGCACATTCCAGCCATGCCTTAGCCAAAGCCAAGCCAAGGAGGGCAGGGGCTGGAGGGTTCTGAAGGGAACCCCGCAGGGGGCAGCATCGCTGCAGCGCCTGCTCACTGGGCAGCCTGCTTGTCCAAAGCTGACACTTTCTTCCCCAGCAGTTCCTCCTTAGTAAGCAA